ACTAAGTCTCATTCTGCATAAAAATGTTATACAGAGCAAGAAGAATAAAAAGCATAGTAATGATAGTCTCGAGGAAAGATAGAAACAGAGTGCACTGATTAATAGATAAAAGTATTCTGTTTTATTATAAGTAATTGTTTTTCCATGAAGTGATCTTTTTTCCTTCTTTTTTTTTTTTTTTTTTTTATGGTTTATTTACAGTGTATACCCAAGAGTAGGACTCAAGAATGTTATGTATATGATGGGAGTCCCTGCTTATGGCATTGTATAAATCTCATTTTCTATTAGTGATTGCTCACACAGAGTTAAACCAAAATATTTCTGTGGCACTTATTTGTCTATGTGAGAGGTTTATTGTGGCCAGGAGACTCGTGACGAAATCCTAGAAGGCTTCGGTTTCAACCGTAAATTTTTCAGGCAGAGGCCTCCACACTTATGACCCACATGAATAGCTGACTTTAATCTTCCAGGAGAATATTCTCGTGGGACTCAATCTGCTCTGCAGTACGCATGATAAGGCGCAGGACTTGTTTATGAACGCGTCATTGTATTTAGTCGCAATGGCATCAGGGATGGAAATCAATGTTTGTAACAACTCTTTTTTTTGTTGTCTTTTTGGTACTGCTCTCTCGACTGTCTTATCTCTGATTATCTTGACTCCTTGTCTCCTCTGTTTCTCTGCTCCCTGGTGCGCGCGGACAGCTTCAGATGATCTAGTAAAAGGCAAGAAAGCAACTTCCATACCAACACATTTCACAAACATCTGCCTCTTCTTGAAGAAAGCCTCGCTGGGGGTACCCCAGGCTTGAGTGCCCATGTATCCTAGCTCACTGCGAGCTAACCTTCCAAGCGCGGGCGCGGTCGCGCGCGCGCGCGAGGAGAAGGGTGGGCATACAGGCATGAGCCACTGTGACCTGGACTTAAAAATTACTCTTCATATAAGATTAGATGTCAGCTTTTTCAGAACAAACAAAGATTCATATTTAAAAGAATTGGTGCTTATGAAAAACATCAACAAACATGTCTGAAAGCTTTCTTAAATTCCCTACCAATTAGCGGAAGGAAAAAAGTTATATAAAGATAGAAACTGCCAAAACCGTCTGCTCATCAGTTATTTATACAGCTGTCTCAGCCTTTAGACACCACAGACACCACACTTCACCCTGGAGAAAAGCTTCTCTCATCCATCTTCCTCTCCCTCGCACAAGCTTGCGCTGCATGCTTTTGAAAGGCTCTCTCCACAACCATAGGTCACTACCCACCACCCCCACCTCCACCATGCTTGTATTTGTTTTATACTTGCCAGTTTGCTTCTGCCGGCTCATCTGGCCCCACTGGGTAGAATGCAAACCCACTGTAGTAAAACCCACAGCAATAGCTGCTCTGTAGTGTACACAAGCCATAGCCAGGCAAGCGCCTAGTAGGTGCTCAAAATCTGTTGCATGATCTGAAATCTGGATAAATCTTTAAGTAGTGTGACTGGATGGCACTAGAATTAAACACACATTCCAGGTTACTTATTTATTTATTTAGGAGACAGAGTTTCACTCTTGTTGCCCAGGCTGGAGTGCAATGGCATGACCTCTGGGTTCACCACAACCTCCACCTCCCAGGTTCAAGCAATTATCCTGCCTCAGCTTCCAAGTAGCTGGGATTACAAACATGTGTCCCACCATGTCCAGCTAATTTGTATTTTTAGTAGAGACCGAAGGTTTCTCCATATGGTCAGGCTGGTCTCGAAATCCCGACCTCAGGTGACCGCCTGCCTCGGCGCCCAAGTACTGGATTACAAGTGGGAGCGCACTGTGCCCAGGCCATGACTATATACTTTCTGATGAGCAAAAAGCATGTTTCTGTGCTATAAAATTACAAGACAATAGTGCCTTTTGCTTACCAGGCTTTATTGGAGTCATTTCAAAGTATGAAAATCTAGAATTACTCTTAAATTTCACGTTGAATTGTGTAACAGAGATTTCAAATGCGGCGGTATGGGCTTGGCAGTCCAAGTGAATATTGGAGGAGTTCTTAAAGTTGTCATATCATGCTGGACGTGGTGGCTAGTACTGTGGAGGGCTGAGGGCAGAAGAATCGCTTAACCGGGAGGCGGAGGTTGCAGTGAGCTGAGATCGTGCCACTGCACTCCAGCCTGGACATCAGAGTGAGACTCCATCTCAAAAAAAAAAAAAAAAAAGTTGCCATATCAGCAAAAGCATACAAATTCACTTCACTATGTTTTTTCTTTCTTTCTTTTTTTTTTTTTTTGAGATGAGAGTCTCACTCTGGTTGCCAGGCCTGATGAGTGCACGTGGTGCGTGATTGTGGTCCACTGCAACCTCCACCTCCTGGGTTCAAGTGATTCTCCTGCTGCCTCAGTCTCCCAAGTAGCTGGGGGATTACAGGGGTGCGCCATGCGCCCAGCCCACTTCACTATTTTTTTTTGAGACGGAGTCTCGCTGTGCTCCCAGGCTGGAGTGCAGTGGCGTGATCTCGGCTCACTGCAAGCTCCGCTCTCCGGGATTCACGCCAATTCTCCTTGCCTCAGCCTCCCAAGTAAGCTGAGGACTACAGGCGCCCGCCACCATGTCCGGCTAGTTTTTGTATTTTTTAGTAGAGACGGGGTTTCACCATGTTAGCCAGGATAGTCTCGATCTCCTGACTCGGAGACCCACCCGCCCTCGGCTCAGGATGGTCTCGATCTGCTGACCTCGTGATCCGCCCGTCTCGGCCTCCCAAAGTGCTGGGATTACGGGCTTGAGCCACCGCGCCTGGCCTGTGTTCATGTTTTTAAAAGTAAAATGTTCTTTGGCATTATCTAGCAGGGAGAAATTGAAAGCTAAATGCATTGATGGGTGGGGGGTGGGGGTCGTGTGTATGTGTGTATGTGCTTTGCTCAGACTGGGCCAAGGCTCGCTAAAAGTGCAGCAGTTCTGCTGACACAGTACCTAGAGACTGAGCTATCAGGGATCTGATATTGATCAGTCATCCTGAAAGGAATACCATGTTACTTGGCAAGAAGGCATGCCTTGGACATAATAACCCTTTCCACAGAATAAATTCTTAATTAGTTGAATTTTGTGTGAGGTTCTGGACATACACATATACTTAAAAATTTTATTAAGTTCAATTGAACTAAATATGATGCCAGTTTGGAAATTACTTAGTGTTGGCTGTCCAATTAAACTCTCATTACTAGAGGTCAATGCCATTGTACAATGAATTTTTAAAGAATTTCTTTCTAAAGCTTTGTTAGTGGATTGAGCTGTAAGTATGGGAACACTGTGTAACAAAATTCTTGCTTCTAGGTGACATCCATGGGCAATACTATGATTTGCTGCGACTTTTTGAGTACGGTGGTTTCCCGCCAGAAAGCAACTACCTGTTTCTTGGGGACTATGTGGACAGGGGAAAGCAGTCATTGGAGACCATCTGCCTCTTACTGGCCTACAAAATCAAATATCCTGAGAATTTTTTTCTTCTCAGAGGGAACCATGAATGTGCCAGCATCAACAGAATTTATGGATTTTATGATGAATGTAAGTACTTTTCTATATCTCAGGAAGTTATTGAAATTAAGATATTTATCATAAACAATTATCACGTACTTCTGTTAGGAATTGTGAGAGTTTAGATGCAGTGGTATCATCTCTCATGTTTTCTATTTCATCAACTTGTTTTTAACTTAGGTTTTTAGGGGAGGTGGGGGAACAGAGTCTCACTCTGTTAACAGCCCAGGCTGGAGTGCAGTAGCACCATCTTAACCTCATTGCAACCTCTGCCTCCCAGGCTCAAGCAGTCCTCCTGCCTCAGCCTCCCAGGTAGCTAGGACTGCAGACATGCATCACCACGCTCAGCTAATTCATGTATTTTTTTGAAGAGATGGGGTTTCACCTTGTTGCCCAAGCTGATCTGAAACTCCTGGACTCAAGGAATCTGCCCACCTAGGCCACTCAAAAGTCCTGGGATTACTGGTGTGAGCCATGGCGCCCAGCCAGTTTTTTCTCTCTTGGGTAGAAAAAGAACACTACCGCTGTAATAAAATAAGGTCTTGGATTCTTTTATGATGTGATGATCAGATTAGGAAATAATGATCATGGTAGTGGTTTCTTTAAGATGTAAATTGTTGTATTCACAGTTAACTTAATTCTTGGTAGAAATCTGAGAACCATTCTAAATAGTTTTAAGCAACTTTATTATGTAATTTCATTCCATAAAATTAATCTGTTGAAAGTATAACAATTCAGTGATTTGTAGTAAATTTATAGTTAACGCGACCATCTCACCGTAGCCCCCAGGCAACCACTAATCTACTTTTTGTCTTTGCTAGAGAACATTGCATGCAAATGGAATCTTGCAATGTGTAAATAATTAGTTTTTGAAATTATTATGGTTTTTCTCCTCTGGCATAACTGCACCCAGGAAGAATGGCAATAACTTTCCTAAAACTAAAATGTGCTGAACAAAGATTATTTTTACAGTATTTTACGCATTTTGTGACTCATTTTGGATTGTTTATTTAAAGGTGCACTTTGATTTGACTATTGACAAAGCACAGTTCTTAAAGCTTTGCAAATAGGCTGGGCGCAGTGGCTCACGCCTGTAATCCCAACACTTTGGGAGGCCACGGCAGGTGGATCATGAGGTCAAGAGATCGAGACCATTCTGGCCAACATGACGAAACCCTGTCTCTACTAAAAATACAAAAATTAGCCAGGCGTGGTGTCAGATGCCTGTAGTCCCAGTTACTTGGGAGACTGAGGCAGGAGAATCGCTTGAACCCGGGAGTCTGGTTCAGTGAGTCGAGATCACACCACTGTACTCCAGCCTGGGTGGCAGAGTGAGACTCCGTATCAAAAAAAAAAACTTTGAAAATAATCAGTTTGATAAAGGGTTTTATGTCAGAAAAGGTTTTGAATCTTTACCTTCACCTTCCTTTTGTGCTTATTTCTGCCAGGAGGGGTTTCAGGTTTGGAGTGAAGGGGTGGTTAAGGAACTTCAGGTAGTTGGCATTTGCTAATATGATTATAGGGAGATCAGCAAAGTGTTGTCCCTGTGGCCCTCCCCTAGACCACATCCTAACTTAGAGTCTCCAGATGTGTGTTTTTCCATCTCAATTCACATAGATACAGTGAGCTAGCACATTTGTTAGAAGTGCATCCTAGAAAGATTATATTCACAGACTGAGCCCTTCTACTACCACCCTTTCCCACAACTGGATGTTTGCTTAGTCTGTGTCCTTGAGATCCAGCTGGTAAGATGAGGTGGCAGGAATGATCAGGGACAAAAATTCTGTGGGTTCTGGACTGACTGATACCATTGAACCTGTACAGGAAAGATATTCGATATTAACAGGGATTCTGTGTCAAAGAAGTACCAGTAAGCCAGTTACTACTCCTTAGGTAGTGAAATACAAGGCAGATGTGGTGGGTTTTTTTTGTTGTTGTTGTTTGTTTTTGAGACAGAGCCTTAAGCTGGAGTGCAGAGGTAGGATCATAGCTTACTACAACCTGTAATTTCTGGGCTCAAGCAATCCTTTCACCTCAGCCTCCCTAAGTGCTGGCATTACAGGCATGGGCCACCACACCCAGGCAACATTGTGTTTTGGATACTTATTCCAAGTGTTACTCTTGAGTTAAGAAAGGGTTCCTTTTACATAACTGTTAGCCCAGCAAATACTTTTCATGTTTGCACTGATGAATTCAAATCCATTTGACCTCATTGTTGTGACTTCTATCCTAACGTAATGATACTAGCTGCATCAGTTTCAGTTTCTACTCAATGCAGAGGCCTTTAAAATGACTTAGAAGATCAGTGTCGGTTGGTATCAGTTTCGACTCCTGTTTGATCATCAACACAATTTATAGATCAAGCATCCTCTCTCCCATCAGGCAGATACAATTTGCCATCCAGTCTACTTGTGGGCATAAAAGTGCCCTTGACATAGGTGGCTTCTGGTTGAAGGCTTGCAGACATTTAGTATATATATTATATATATTAATTTTATTAAAATGAAAAGTTGTATTCAAATGTTGATTTTCATGGGACAATTTAAAAACCACTGCCTGTTTTCCAGGTACATAAGTACTTTATACTACCATTTCTTTTTTGTTTGTTTGTTTAAATTTTGCAAATGTGATGAAAAGGCTGAGGTATATGTTGTTGGGTAAAACAGGAGTGTTTGTTGATCCATTTCTGCCACCGGAGCTGTCTGATGTACAGTAACGGGAAACTGCATTACAGGTTATGGCTCAGAATCTTAGGATTTGGAAGCTAGACGATTACCCTGGTTAAACCTTTTAGGACCCAGATGTTCCTAGTGGTTTGAGGTGGCCTTAGGGAGGATATGAAGAGAGAAGAGAAAGAGACAGCCCCACGCTTAAAGTGCTGAGAGGCAAAAGGAGGAAGCAAACTGATTTTTCATGGAGAGGCCAGCAGAAATCAGCAAGAGAAGAAACTGGAGTTTGTGGCATAACTAAAGAATCAAAGGCCGGGCATGGTAGCTCATGCCTGTAATCCCAGTACTTTGGGAGGCCAAGGTGGGTGGATCACTTGAGGTCAGGAGTTCAAGACCAGTCTGACCAACATGGTGAAAACCCATCTCTACTAAAAATACAAAAATTAGGTGTGGTGGTGCCCACCTGTAGTCCCAGCTACTCAGGAGATTGAGGCAGAAGAATCCCTGGAACTCGGGAGGCTGTGGTTGCAGTGAGCCGAGATCACATTGCTTTACTCCACCTGGGTGACGGAGTGAGACCCCACCTCAAAAAAAAAAAATATCCAGAAGTGAAGCTGACCTTGGGGAAAGAGGAAGTCACTATCACTGGGGGGCTAAGGCAGCAGCCCTGTTCTTATAATACAGGTTAAGTATTCCTTACCTGGAATGCTTGGGACTAGAAGTGTTGCAGGTTTCAGAGTTTTGTGTTTTGTTTTGTTTTGTTTTGTTTTAATTTTGGAATATTTGTGTTATAATTACTGGTTAAACATCCCTAATCCAAAAATCTGAAATCCAGAATGCTCCAGTGAGCATTTCCTTTGAGCATCATGTGAGTGCTCAAAAAGTTTCAAATTTTGGAGCATCTTGGATTAAGGATACTCATCTTGTGGTGGTGGTGGTGGTTAGTAGTAGTATTGCTGTTGGACATGGGAGGTGGTGTTTTTGCAGATTGCCCATCAGCCTTTCGTAAGGAGGAGTTTGTTGGTTTTTTTTTTTTTTTTAGATGGAGTTTCATTCACTCTTGTTGCCCAGGCTGGAGTGCAATGGTGCGATCTTGGCTTACTGCAACCTCTGCCTCCCAGGTTCAAGCAGTTTTCCTGCCTCAGCCTCCTCAGCCTGGCGGGAGGAGTTTGTTGAACTTTCAGAACCCCTCCAGTGAAGGAGTTAGTAGCCTCTAAAGAAATGCGCAACAGGGTGACCCACAGAGTTAGACCCAGTCATTGAGAAACCAGAAATTATTAGGAGAAAAGATAACACTCTTCTCTGCAGAGAGAAGGCAAACATTTGTTGAATTTACATTACATTTCAAGCCCTGTGCTAAACTCCCTAGACTGCTTGATTTGCATTACAGGGTGGGAAGTGTGGTTCAGGTTAGTTGTTTGGGCTGGCCCTAACTCTCAAAGGAGAGGTACAGGTTTAAACCTTTCGATGTCCCTGTAGTCCCCAGGAAGAGACTAAGGACAAACTCTTGGTTTGGTTTGGTTTGGTTTGGTTTGTTTTTTGAGATGGAGTTTTGCTCTTGTTGCCCAGGCCGGAGTGCAATGGCACAATCAAGGCTCACCGCAATCTCCGCCTCCCGGGTTCAAGCGATTCTCCTGCCTCAGCCTCCCAAGTAGTTGGGATTACAGGCATGCGCCACCACACCCAGCTAATTTTTGTATTTTTAGTAAAGAAGGGATTTCTCCATCTTGGTCAGGCTGGTCTCAAACTCCCAACCTCAGATGATCTGCCCGCCTTGACCTCCCAAAGAGTTGGGATTACAGATGTGAGCCACCCCGCCTGGCCAAACTGTTGGTTTTTAAAGATTGTGCTTAGTATAGTAAGGTACAGGAAACAAAGGCATCTGGACAATTGGACAGTCCTCAACCAATCCAGAGAAATTTGTTCTTGCAAGGTATGTGAGTAGGTTTTAAACTCAGAACATCAGTTTCCTGTAGAAACAGTGCATAGTGGCATATTTCTGTCAGAACTGCACTCTGACTCCAGAATGTGTGGATGCCTGTGCTGGTGAGAGAACGTGACCACCCTGTGACATCAGGCCTGTGGGAGCATGTGGAGTCTGTGCAGTGTTGGAAACAAATGCCCTGTAGTGCCTGTGAGAGGTACCACTGCCGTGTGATCATTGTGCCTCCTGCTAGAGCACTGAGGCCTGGGGATCCTCTGGTATCTGTAGGTTGTTGAGGGGAGTACATGGAGGGTGGGTGCTAACTCAGGCTTCCTCAGAAGGAAGCTCGTAATGCCACATGGTGTAAGTTCGTAATCGCCTTAAGAATTAGGGAACTAGCTGCGGTGAGATTGGACAAAGCATACTGGATTTCAGACAGAATTGATGCTACCAGATAATTCCTGGGATTTCCTTAATCATTATCAAATCTGGAATTCTGGTTTCATACTTCTATGGAATTTAAAAAGATTTCATGTGAAAATGTAAGTCATTGCTTTTAGATCAGATGTGTCTCTCCTAAACTCCTTCCCTCCAGGAGAGTCTTTCTTTAAAGAGATGGGGTGTCACTATGTTGCCCAAGCTGTTCTTGAACTCCTGGGCTCAAGCGATCCTCCTACCTCAGCCTCCCGAAGTGCTGGGGTTACAGGTCTGACCCACCACGCCCAGCTCTTATTTTAAAAGAGTGTTAAAATAAGACAGTTTTATTAAGATTCTTAATAAAAGCATAGTTTCGTTTGCTTAAAAAGCACCCAGAATCTTGCTTTGGGGGAAGTTAATCCTGAGAGAATGAGCCTACGGAACAGTAATACTCTCTTTTTAATCACAGGTAAAAGAAGATACAACATTAAACTATGGAAAACTTTCACAGACTGTTTTAACTGTTTACCGATAGCAGCCATCGTGGATGAGAAGATATTCTGCTGTCATGGAGGTAGTTGGGCTGATTTTTGTTCCAAATAGGTTTTGATCCCTTCCAAAGGATGAACACTTTAACATTTGTGAGTTACCATTGGGATGACTTCCTCTTTGTTGATGTGTTGCATTGCACTGTCACTCCGATACAGCCAGGATTACTTGGATAAAAATCTTAAGGAACTGATTTATTACAGGGAATTCTAGACTCTGTAAATTAGGATTGAAAATAGAGCAGAAAATGTTTATTTTTATTTTATTTTTTGTAAGGATGAGTTCTCACCATGTTGCCCAGGCTGGTCACAAATTCCTGGGCTCAAACAATCCTCCTGCCTTGGACTTCCAAAGTGCTGGGATTACAGGCGTGAGCCACCGTGCCCGGCTCGGAAAAGTATTTTTAACTATAAAATGAACAATATGTAATTTGCTGTGCCAGGGATCCTTTAGAACACTGAAGATGTGAATAGATTTTCCCTTGTTTGTTTTTTATCCTCTCAGAACTTTCTCTGACTTGGATTTTAAAAGTTATTTTGGCCAGGCATAGTAATTCGCATCTGTAATTCCAGCACTTTTGAGAGGCCAAGGTGGGAGGATTGCTTGATGCCATGAATATGAGAACAGCCTGTAACATATCGAGACCCCTGTCATTAGAAAAAGTGTTAAAAATTAGCCAGGTGTAATGGTGCACACCTGTAGCCGTAGCTATTTGGGAGGCTGAGGCGGGAGGATCACTTGAGCCCAGGGGTTTAAGGCTGCAGTGAGCTATGATCGCACCACTGCACTCCAGCCTAGGCAACAGAGGAAGACCTTATCTCTAAAAATATATGCATACATATTTTATAAGCTATTTTTCTTTGCTCAGTGGTTGTGTTTTCTATAATGTAATTAAAATAGTAATTGCAAAGAGAATTTCTTTTCATGTATGGTGTGAAATTAATCAGCCATCAAAAAGCCAACATAATGTCTTTTATCTCTGTGCTTCTATACTTACACAGGTTTTGGTAGAGTTGGATACATGGTTTTTAACTCTTATAATATGCATCCCATATTGTAACTCGATACAATAAACTCTTGTAGATTTTAATGGTCTATGAATAGTGCAGATTTCCTAGAGAACTACCTCTCACTGAGCATCCTTATCTTCTCAGCTCAGTCATTATAAGCCATCAATCGTAACATCGCTCATTATTGTCATCAACTGGGGAAGCCCGTAGAAGAGTTTTTTAAATCACTGGATTTTATTTTACAGTGTTCTGTATAATATAACTGCCTCCATGTACTGTTTAAACCTGCAGCACCCCATGCATTACTGCATATAATTCTAGTGTGTATCCAGTTGTCCTTTTTCTGTGTGTGTGTGTTTTTTTTCTTTTAACCAAAAGTAAATAAAATATAATCCGATTTCAGTTTTTGTGTCAGGATTATTGAATTTCTCTGTAGACAAATGGAACTTTTGAAGGCGTAATATCCTTTTAAAAGTTTTGCTTTCTTCATTTTTCTTTTCCTCATTGAATAGGTTTATCACCAGATCTTCAATCTATGGAGCAGATTCGGCGAATTATGCGACCAACTGATGTACCAGATCAAGGTCTTCTTTGTGATCTTTTGTGGTCTGACCCCGATAAAGATGTCTTAGGCTGGGGTGAAAATGACAGAGGAGTGTCCTTCACATTTGGTGCAGAAGTGGTTGCAAAATTTCTCCATAAGCATGATTTGGATCTTATATGTAGAGCCCATCAGGTATTGATTTTGAATTTTACATGTACACTTAAGAGCATGTGTGTGAGCACAGATTCTCCTTGTTGATTTTGGTGGGTAGGTATTGCTTATTTATACAAAGTGTTTCTGGAACACAAGATATCAGGTTCAATGGGAAACTGAAACGTGGTTTTACTTACCTAATATTTGCACCTATTTATACTGAAAAAATTTTCTCTCGAAGGTGGTTGAAGATGGATATGAATTTTTTGCAAAGAGGCAGTTGGTCACTCTGTTTTCTGCGCCCAATTATTGTGGAGAGTTTGACAATGCAGGTGCCATGATGAGTGTGGATGAAACACTAATGTGTTCTTTTCAGGTAGAGCATGCTTTCAACATTATTTCCTTTTACTATGTTTGTACTTTGCTGGTTGAAAAATATAATTGCCACTTTTTGCCTAGTGTTCATTTATGCTAAGTAGGCTGTTTCTATTTTCCCTTAACCAGTGTGTGTTATAGTTGAATAATGTGTGGATCCCTTGTAAAAGAAAAAATTAATTATGGCACCTTTTCCCAGTGTTTAATTATGATTTTTTTGCATTGCATATTGGCTCCTTATGCTTTTATGGCTGTTTTACTGTAGATCTAAAACCATAATGACAATGTAATGTTCAGCTAAAATTAAATCACCACTTGCATGTGAAAAGTACTGAGTGCCTCGTGCTATGTGTTTACTTAGTTCTGCCCTCTAGTCTAATTTCCACAAAACTTCTGTTAATGTACCACGACATCATTTGGCCTTCAGTTGGCACAAAAGCATTATTTAGAATCTGCCTCAGCCTTTTTCTCATTTGCAAGTTTTTGTTGTTGTTGTTGTTGCTGTTTTTTACCAATTGTCAGAGAACTTGCAGCTTTCAAAATTCCAAAGATTGTACAAGAATCCCCTGCAGGTTGGAGAAACACTTTCGTAAAGAACTTTCTCCCCTATATCAGAAGGAATAGCTAAAGATATTACCAGTACTCAGAGACAAAATAATTTGTCCAGATCATAGATTTTTATCTCTTCATCATAGCCTTAATTACTAAATGTTTACATGTCAACTTAGCTTGTGTTAATATGCTAGGGAGGCTTTTACAGTTGTTGGGGCGTTATAAACGCCATCTGAACAAAAGATCTGAATGAAATGTAAGGGCTCTTTAAGATTTGGGGTTGAGTATATTTCCTAAATGAACTGTCTTTTGAATCTCTCCAGATTTTAAAGCCTGCAGAGAAAAAGAAGCCAAATGCCACAAGACCTGTAACGCCTCCAAGGGGTATGATCACAAAGCAAGCAAAGAAATAGATGTCATTTTGACACTGCCTAGTTGGGACTTGTAACATAGAGTATATAACCTTCATTTTTAAGACTGTAATGTGTACTGGTCAGCTTGCTCAGATAGATCTGTGTTTGTGGGGGCCCTTCCTTCCGTTTTTGATTTAGTGAATGGCATTTGCTGGTTATAACAGCGAATGAGAGACTCTTCACTCCAAAAAGAAAAGTGTTTTGTTTTTTAATTCTCTCTTCCTTTTGCAAACAATTTTAATGATGGTGTTAAAGCTGTACACCCCAGGACAGTTTATCCTGTCTAAGGAGTAAGTGTACAGTTGATCTTTTTAAATTCAGTACAACCCATAATCATGTAAATGCTCATTTTCTTTAGGACATAAAGAGAGCCCTAGGGTGCTCCAAATCTGTACATGTTCTTGTCATAAAATGCATACTGTTGATACAAACCACTGTGAACATTTTTTATTTGATAATTTTGTTTCAAAGGGATTGCTTTTTCCTCTCATTGTCTTGTTATGTACAAACTAGTTTTTATAGCTATCAACATTAGGAGTAACTTTCAACCTTGCCAGCATCACTGGTATGATGTATATTTAATTAAAGCACACTTTTCCCCTACCGTATACTTAAAATGACGATTAAAGCCATTCTTTTAAATATTTGTGACTCTTTCCTAAAGCCAAAGTTTCTGTTGAATTACGTTTTGGCACACCCCTAAGTACAAGGTGGTATGGTTGTGTACACATGCTGCCTTCTCGGGGATTCAAAAACAGGTTTTTGATTTTGAATAGCAATTAGTGATATAGTGCTGTTTAAGCTACTAATGATTAAAGGTAATAACATTTTGTACAATTTCCATATAGTCTATTCATTAAGTAATCTTTTTACAGTTGCATCAGGCCTGAACCCGTCCATTCAGAAAGCTTCAAATTATAGAAACAATACTGTTCTATACGAGTGACCGATTATGCTTTCTTTGGCCTACATTCTTTATTCTGCGGTGAAGTTGAGGCTTATAAGTTAAAACAAAGGAACTAACTTACTGTCCACCAGTTTATACAGAACTCACAGTATCTATGACTTTTTTTAAACTAAGATCTGTTAAAAAAGAAATCTGTTTCAGCAGATGACCGTGTACAATACCATGTGGTGAAAATGAATTCAGACTTATTAAATGATGAACTTGTTAAATCCTCTCAGTGTCTATTTATCAGCACAATACACACAGGAGAACTGTTGATGGCATATTGAATAGATTTTCCTGAATAAATTGCTCTGGAAACCACATGGTTGCATTTTGGTTTTGTCTTCTTTCATATAGTCTGTTTTCCAAAGATGGATTATAATACAGATACTAATACTCTTCGAGTTGTAACCTGGAGACAGCTATTGATGTAACAGAGTGATGAGGTGGAATGATCCTCCTCCTCTACCGTTTGGGGAGATGGGGATTAATCTGTCTGTGTCCATAGTTTTCTTACTGTCTGGTTCACTTGAACCTAGTGGCGAATTTGAAAGCAGCTCACTTCATTATTCTGAGTCAGCCACCTATATTTTCATGCACAGTTCTTTGATCTCTTCCCCCTTCCCTGGTTTATATGGAACACAGTATCACGTCATATTTTGTCATAAGTATATATCTTAATTTCTCAGAGGTACGCTAAAAATGAGTGAAGAGCATGTCATTTGGAAAGCTTTTTTTTTCTGTTACAAAGTGGTCTCCCTGAGGGCATTGGCAGAGGACCTAGTGAGGAACTGTTTGAAGGACACAGAACAGCACAGGGCCGTGGACTCCCTTCTGCTAACAGGCTCCAGTCCTGAGGCATCTGCACCCTGCCCTGCTCCCATCAAAGAGGGAAGGGGGACCTCATGACCTTCCTGCTCCACATTGACAATATCCAAACTTGTGCTGTTTCACTTTTATGTAATACTCTCCCAGACTTCTTTGACCATAGGAGAAAAAAATGAACAATAATTGTGTCAAAGGCAAATTCTGCCCATCTTTATATCCTGAACGTTAATGAATTGACACTAGGATTTCAAAATGCTATGAAGTTGTAAAATTGAGCTGCTGTACTTGGATTATATCATTATTGGAGTGTGGTATCTGGCTCAAAGTTTTCTTAAGGAACATTGATTGGTCAAGTAGAAGACAAGATTAGTCTTTGGACCTGAGATCCTTAGGAGAGACTCAATTTGAAATCTGTGTGACAGTAGAACTTGAGGTGTGTGTGATAACCCAAGTTCTGGCCCCTCCTACCTAATTTGAGTGAGTGATCTGAATGCTGAGCCACTGTTCCTAGCTATGAAACGTCCATAGCAGTAGCTGTCTCACATTTGTGAATGTTGAGTGAAATTGTGTGGTGTCTTTAGAATGCTCAACTCGGTGGTATTTGCTTAAATGTTTGCTTTTTGTTGCCTTATTGATCCCAGTTCTTTCGTGTCTTTGCACATCTTGTTTGGCTGAGTTTGAAGTGTCACCTGCCTTTGCTTTGCGGCCCTCTTATGACCTGATACCAAGCCATGGATAGCTAAGTATGTCTGAGCATTTACTGCATAAGGGAATAGCATCATAGATGTTTCCAGCATATGCAAAAGAAAGAACTAGGAAAGAGGAAGTTGTCATTATTAGTGTGATACTATTCTAGTAAATGGTTGTTTTATTTTTGTCAAGTATTCCTGATCACAAGATGACAGCATACAGAAAGGCAGGTGATAGGCATCCTTAGTCGCTCAGTCATCTATGTAATACCCTCCCATTGAAATCGCTGATTTGGTACACAAATTAGGCCTGCCCACGTCTAGCTGCAGTGGACGGCACAGATGCTCACATACATCCCTTGTTCTTGAAGTACCTTGATTTAAGGCCAGAGTTCTCAAGTAACACGCATAAATGGGATATGGAGCACAGGGACTAGGAAAAAATTACTGAGTGCTGAGCCATGAAGAAGGCACAGAATTTAAACTGATGGAAAGGAATATCAGTCACGTTTCTCAATGTGGGACTGTGATGAGAGTTTGCAAGGGAATTCAGTTTGCTGGGAAGTGAAGATAAAAGCTATGAAGTTAAGGCATCATGATGCCAGAAAACACAAGGGAACCTTGCAGGGAAGTGCTGCATGAAAAACCTTAGGTTTATTTGGCAGTTTGCAGACTCGCCATGTGAATTGAGACACGGAGACAAGGGCCACGTAATCCAAGTATCGCCTGGAATTAGTAGTAGAGGGGACAAAGCTGAGGATCCGCATCAGAACAAAGAAGGAATGTCTTCCTTATGTTTGGGTCTGGTAGAACATTAAAGAAAGCTTCCAGGAAGTGGGTTAGTATAGGTTTGAAGTACCATGTCTCCATTTTCCTATCTTGAGGAAAAGACCCAAAACTCAACCTCATGTACCGGCTAACTTGAATCTGCAGGGGTGGTTTTGATGAAGAAGAACTTTTTCAGTCCTGCAAATCAGATGTATACATCAGCCTACACTAGAAGAACATGGCACCCTCTGCCCCAGGCTTTGGTTTCCTTCTCTCACCCACAGAATAGGGATAACTAGAATGCTTACCGATGGGATTGTATTAGCCCACCAAAACATCTACAACTTGCCTTACTCACAAGCATTCCAGAAACAGTCCTCATATAAGACCGATGAATAGTCCTAAGATTTAAACCAATGGCAACACACAGGAACGTTTATTAGGAAATCTTGATCCAGGCACAGGCAGAAGTCATTTTCATTCATGCTTGCTGATGTATGAGCTTCAGAAGAGTGGAAATGATGGACTATCAACACCTTCAGCCTACGACTCAAATAGAATGAGTACGTGCATTAGTGCATCCCTGAATTAGCGCATGGTTCATAGTTGTGTGATCACGGAGATGACTGCCGTCAGCAGCTGCTGTAGCTCCAATGGGCTTGACATCCAGATGTATTACAAGTATCCCAGTAATTTCAAACACAGGTAAATATTTTAGTTGTGAGAATTATGTAGAAATTTTGTCAGTTATTTGAAAGATAAATATGTTAGAGGATTAAAGCACCTCAGTTAATCATGTAAACAATTTTGTAATCAAAAAGTTAAAACTAGGCTGGGTGCAGTGTCTCATGCCTGTAATCCTAGTGTGATTGGGAGGCCGAGGTTGGATCACTTGAGGTCACGAGTTTGAGACCAGCCTGGCCAACATGGTGAAACCCCATCTCTACTGAAAATACAAAAATCAGCTGGGTGTGGTGGCACATACCTGTAATCCCAGCTACTCGGGAGGTTGAGGCAGGAGAATTGCTTGAACCCGGGAGGCGGAGGTTGCAGTGAGACAAGATTGTGCCACTGTACTCCAGACTGGGACAGAGCAAGACTCTAAAAAAAAAAAAATTAAAACTTGGAAAGTTTTCAGTAATAAAATAGGGAAATAGAATGTTGCATAAGTTCAAGAACTTTATACTCTTGAACTAACAAAAGTTTGTAAGAATTTTAAAATATAAGGCATGCAAAATATTGGGAATGAATCAGTATGGCAAGTCTTGTAAGTGCATCTCAGAAGGCATCGTGAGGCATTGCCCAAAGTCTAGGAATTGAGAAGGAAGACATAAGTCCTTACCTTGCTATTGGCATGGAACAACCAATTTGGTGGTAGGACCAGCCAGAAAGCAACTTGCCCTTCCAGCAACCTCAGATAAAAGTGAGCATCTATTTAGTATTACAAACGTGCAGATACTTCAGGAGCAATAAAGCAATGGGTGATGCTAAGAAGGTAGCATATCGGCTGGGCACGGTGGCTCACACCTGTAATCCCAAAACTTTGGGAGGCCAAGGCAGGCAGATCACCTGAGGTCAGGCGTTCAAGACCAGATTGGGCAACATGGAGAAACCTCCATCTCTAATAAAAATATAAAATTAGCCTGGCATGGTGGTGGCAGGTGCTTGTAATCCCAGCTACTCAGGAGGCTGAGGCAGGAGAATTGCTTGAACCCCGGTGGCAGAGGTTGTGGTGAGCTGAGATCGCACCATTGCACCACAGTCTGGGCAACAAGAGCAAAACTCCGTCTCAAAAAAAAAAAAAAAAAAAAAGCATACCAGCCCAGCATCAAACTTAGGAGAATTCTGATGATTGTAATGATAAATGGTATCAATTAAATTTTTTTCCAGTATGGGCAATATGGTGACACCCCGTCTCTATTAAAAATATAACAATACAAAAAATTAGCCAGACATAGTGGTGCACACCTGTGGTCCCAGCTACTTGGGAGACTAAGGTGGGAGGATCGCTTGAACTTGGGAGGTGGAGGTTGCACTGACCTGAGATCGCGCCACTGCACTCCAGCCTGGGTGACAGAGTGAGACCCTGTCTCAAAAAATAATTTTTGATAGAATTTCAAATTCATTATTGTGTTCCAACCAGTTCCTCAGTAGCAATATTTGGCTATGACCACCAAATGCTGATTTTAATACTCGTTCAGCCAAAATGCATATTTGGTGCAACTCTTGAAACAATTCGAAAATGCCACTTAAAAATGCATATTCCTTTTTTCTTCTAGCCACCCAATGAGCACAATATCACATACCATGTCTCCCAAAGAGGACCAGCCCAACACCAGTTGTTCAGGGCTGGTGAACAAGAGAACAGTAAACTAGTCATTATATTCTTGGACAGACTGGCTGCTTGACCTTTCCCTGGCAAGTTAGGTAGGTGTGGCAGAGGGAGCGGGTGGGATAAGGGTGTTTTTGCTGAGGTTGGCAGAAGTTCGTTTACCATCTGATGGAGCTTTGCTCATTCACCAGCTCCATGAACCCCTTAAGGAGCCCAGTTCCATACCTGCTAGTTACCATAATGAAATCACTTCCCAATTTTTGTTTTTGTGTTTTTGTTTTTTTTGAGACAGAATCTTGCTCTGTTGCCCAGGCTGGAGTGCAGTAGCACAATCTCGGCTCACTGCAAGCTCTGCCCCCTGGGTTCACGCCATTCTCCTGCCTTAGCCTCCCAAGTAGCTGGGATTATAGGTGCAAGCTACACACCCAGCTAATTTTTATATTTTTAGAAGAGACGGGGTTTCACTGTGTTGGCCAGGCTGATCTCAAACTCCTGACCTCAAGTGATTCGCCTGCCTCAGTCTCCCAAAGTGCTGGGATTCCAGGCCTTCCCAAGTTTTGATTACTGACCCACAAACACCACATATCTTCTCTAGTGCTTGCCCTTCAGATTGAGAAGTGGAATGGACAGATGTAGACTCACATAGTCCCCCACTCAGGAGGCTGTCCAGAGTAAGTGAAGGACACAGATTCAGCGTGGATCAGA